TTCTGTTTGGTGCAGCTCTGGGCCAGCTGAAGCACACTCTCCTTACCTTTACACACAAAGTGCACACCTGAATTTCGCATAACTGCTCTGGTTGCCTACCTTTCTCTTCTTCTTGGAAAGCATCCAGTACTAGGAATCCAGCTAACTACAGACAGCCCAAATTAATGCTTCTTAACCTGCATGAAAGAGAATTTTTTGTAACCTTCTCTTTGGTGTTGGTGTCTAATCGATGATAAATTTCAGGAAAGAAGCCCTTCTACTAGCAGGTTAAAAGTATTCATTTTTTGCAGCCCTAATATCTATTTGAAATGTAACAGCTTGTTTGTTCCTCTCCCCAGATGAATGCACCTTCATCTTTAGATTTATGATTTAATTTTTATTTCTTCTAAAATAGAGACAGAAGTAGTGGAAGTTCCTATATCTCTGTCAGAGCTTCTCTATGATTTCTTTGCCAGTCACCCAAAGCAGCCTCTAGTTGGGTTTATCCCTTTTAATTCTCATTCTCTCTCCATAGTGTTTTCTCCTCTGAGCACATAAACACATCACTACCCTTTCTTCCAAAGTCAAGGCCAGCTTACATGAAGGGGAATGGTTGACTCTGACAGTAAGTAGCACTCTAGGTGGCTCAGCTAACTCACCACAGTTTGGGTGTCTTTCCAGGTTGGTGGACACACCAGGGCCAGAGATCAGTGTGTCTTTCCTGCCAACAGAGAACCTTACTTCATCCTTTGAGTGTTCCATTCAGAGTGGAGGTCAAAGGTCTCCAGACTAAAAAATGCCTTTAACTGAAGCCCAAGTTATGCAGGAAGGAGTCCCAGCTTCTGCTCTTAGGCCCGAGAGGCTGACCATGGAGCATCCTTGACCTTTCTCTGCCTCCCAGAGGTCCCGTGAACTGGGGTCCAGTGTGTCCTCTAACCCCCCACGGAGGTTCCTCGTGAAAGGCCTCTGCTGAGTTTGCAAGGACACAAAAATGGAAATGCCCGAGGGGAGAGATTTTTCCAAAGTTCTTGGTTGTCAGAGAGATGAACATCATCAAATGGCTCTGAAAGAAAAGCTGAAAGAGATCAACATCGTAAGCCGTTGGGAGATTAGACTGTCCAATCGACTTGGTTCAAGATGAGGCAGAAGCCAGAGCAGAGATAATTCTGCACTGGAATTGCTAGCATTATGAGCAAGGTTTCAGGGAACTTATCAGGAAAGGTTAACTTGAATGGGCACTAATGAGTTGATGACTCAAATCCAGGAACAAGTAAGACCATAACAACCAAAAGCATAGAGGTGAGATGCTATGCAATTATAACATCCCCTAGGGACAGGCATTGGGCTGCAGGATGAGATTGGCTGACCCCTGCCCAGTGAGCAAATGATGAGGTATTTAACTAAAATGTGGACTGTGAATATGCCCAGAAGAATTCTTAATGCATGCACTTGAAAACTTTAGCTCTCTCTCTCTTTTTTTTTTTTCGCGGTACGTGGGCCTCTCACTGTTGTGGCCTCTCCCGCTGCGGAGCACAGGCTCCAGATGCGCAGGCTCAGCGACCATGGCTCACGGGCCCAGCCGCTCCGCGGCATGTGGGATCTTCCCGGACCGGGGCACGAACCCGTGTCCCCTGCATCGGCAGGCAGACTCTCAACCACTGCGCCACCAGGGAAGCCCTCTCTCTCTCTCTTTTTTGTTAAAGCCCTTTTTTGGACAAAGGACTAAACTAGATGTGGGCAGATCTTTAAAATGCATAAGATCGGGTCTACCTGAGCCTTGTGTATTGTAGGTACTCAGAAAATGGTTTATTGATTATAATGTAATAGGGCTCATCCCCTGTCATGGGGCGGAGGGGGGCTATGGCCAGGGTCTTTAAAGAGTGAGTGATAGTGACAAATGTTCAGAATGTCCCACAGCGGTCTATAGCGCCCAGTCCACAGATGGGCTGCCCCTCTGCTAGGACAGGGTTTTATCAGTTTATTCCAAAATGGGTAAATGTTGAGTGTTCCCTTGGCCTTAGAAGAGGTAAGACATAACACAGGGCATTAAACATAGTACAGGGCATTAATGTAAGTCTTCAGTTCAGGCTGAGGGGGTCAAATGTGTGTACTAACATATATTTCGAAATCAGGAAAGCAGTCTTTCCCTCATCCTCCCCACTTCCAAAATTATCTTTCCGAGATATTCTCTATTGTTTTCCCAGTGCAGTTAGGTCATAGTTTGCCTTATAAGGAATTTTAGAGTTTTAAGAGCTCTCACTATAAGAAGTTTTTCCTGCTGTTCTGCCTGAGTTGCCTTCTGCTTAATTTTAGTTCATTATGTCTGTAAAGACAGGGAGGGTTTTATGGGGCAAAAGGCCCAGTCATCATGGGAAGAATGAATCATTTCAAGAACAGTGAGATGGGCGCAAAGGCAAAGACAGCTGAGGGGCAGGAAGCTGGGGGTGGATGGGTTATTGAGAACAGCATCAAAAGTCTGTCTTTTCTCTCTGTTACTCCCACTAGGGGGTGCCCAGCATTCCAGAATAATCACTGTTACTAGGAAGTTGAGGTTTGAGGCGGCATTTCCTCCTAATAGAAGGGCAACAGCTGATCCAGGTTTCCTGCATCTCTGCCCTGATTTGAGAAGTGATCTGGGGGTGGGGCATAGGGAATACAGGGATTGGGACTGAGGGGAGGGGTCTCAGATCAGTAAATACACTGATGCCTCTCAAGCATTTGAGGATTCTCAATCCGTGGAAACCTCTGGCGATATCCTGGGTTCTCTAGGACCCACTGGTCTTAAAGTCATTGGCTGGAGTAATTATGGATCAGAAAAGTCCTCCTGGGCCCAGGAGAGGTGATGATATTTCACCCCTGGGGCTAAAGAATTTATGGTAATAAGAAATGAGCAGGACTGAGAGATTGGTTGCAGACCAGGGATGGAATAAAGATCAAAGATGAGGTGAGATTCTGAAATAGAGTGGGTAACCGGTATGGATGAAGGTCAGGGAGGGGCGAGGGTATTTTGAGGGTCTCAAAACATCTAGGCCCTCAGAACAGTCACAGCATAACTTTTAGTTATGAATGGTTTTGTGAAAAGAAAATGGAACTTGGACTTTGATAGACAGGAGTTCAAATTTCAGCTCAAGCATTCAATAGTCATGTGACCTTGGGAATTTTCGAAAGTTATCCAATATCTTACTTTTAAATATATTTTTTATTGAAGTATAGCTGAAGTACAATGTTGTGCAACATCTTTAATCCTCAATTTTCTCATCTTCAAAATGGGACTAATGATACTAGGGCTACTTGAGACTTTAAAAGATATAAAGGCATATAAAGCACTGAATAAATCTATTTTCTCCCTTTTCCTTTTTCCCATTTGGAAATGGCTGAGGGCAAGGAAAGGAGATATATCTATTCCTTCAGTTCTTGTACCCCAAGATGTAGGATATCAGGACTGCAGCCCTGAGGTCAGAGGGTCCTCTCGGGCCTCTGGGGTTTTGTGCACCACAGAACTTCAGTGAGTGTTCAGGACATGCTGCAGAAGTCCTGCCCTCTTTGACCCTGTGGACCAATCCTCATACTTTGCAGGCTTTTGAGCCATAATTTAGAAACCAACCTCCAACTAAATTTATAGCGGTCACCGTCTGGTCCTGAGGCCTTCAGTCTCCGAGAATTAAACTATCTTGCCTACACAGAGCGCCAAAGCCTGGCCTGGAATCCAGGTATCACCAGTTAGTCCATGTTAATATGACAATCATTCAGAATTCTCTCAGCACAGTTTTACAAAGTATGGGCCACAGACCACCTGTACCAGCATCAGCAGGTGGGCTTGATAAAAAATGCAGATCCCTGGCCTCCTGCCAGACCTGTGCAACCAAGACTCTCTAAAGTTTAAAAGCAAAGGCGTAGAAAGTTAACCAGTCCCAGGTTACACTTTTACGTGGAAACACAATGCCTTAATCCTCCAGAGTGCTCTTTTGTAGAGGAAGAATGGGGCTCTTCAGCAGACTTCTCATTGCTTTGCAAATCATACCGTACAGGTGTTTCTGACGCTGCTTATTTATAGAGCCAACTCTGTCCCTAGCCACTTACTTACTTCCCCTGGAACTTCCTCAGTGTTGGAAACATCACTGTGAAGGTCACAGACCATTTCTGTGGACACCCGATCACAGAAAGGTGTGATTCAGAAAGGTCACTTTGATTCTCTCCTGAGCCACCGTGATAACCTGGCTTCCTGTCAAGGCAGTGGGGGAGGGGAGAGTGTTCTGGTTCTTGTTTCTGGGAATGGGGGAGGGGGCCACCAGGATAAATGTTGGTCACCAGCTGCCCCTTCCTTTGCATTGACAGAGCACTTGCTGCCAATTTAGCAGTGCTTAGGCTGAGGACTGGGGCAAAAATTAGCCCTTCCTCTAAAGCTGTGAACTCTGATCTCAGTCTAGAGAGAGGTGGGCTGCGGACATGTGAACAGGCTCCACGAGCTTCCTCCTGACAGCAAGGCCTGCATGAGCTGGCTTTTCAGAAGGAACTTGTGACTGTGGATCACTCTCCAGAGAGACAAACCTTTTCAGACTTAAGAGAGACGGCAGTAGCAGCAGCCTCTGCATTAAGTTTTGACCAGCTCTCACAGGCCTCTGGGTTACGCGGTTCACCCCGACCTCTGGGGCGTCCCTGCACTGCAGAACTACAGCGGCTGTTCAGGGCATACTGGGAGCTGTGGAGAAATTTTGCAGTAAGGATTCACATCAGCTTCAAAGTGCCCAGAATGAGCATTAAAATGCTGCCAGGAAGACAGTTGTTGCTACGTTAAATCTCTGGGGGGACAAAGTGGGAAACGAAGGTTAGTAAAATAAAACAAAACAGGTCATGGTTGTGAAGCAACCTGTCCTCAGTACCTAACTACATGGAGCTGGTGTCGGCCTCTTTCCGAGAGGGGCTGTGTCCCTCCCTGAACGGGATACTGATAGTAAAGAGCTCCCCCACATAAAGCATCCTTTGCACCCTCCCAATCGATTCTTTCCCTTTTTGTTTTCTAGGAACAAGAGGATTCATCTGACTTAACTGGAGATGGCTCCCTTCCCCATTTATTGTTCCATTCCTAAAGCTTCCCTCCTACCGGGCTCAGTGAGAGCAGATGGGAAGAGGCACCCACCTCAGAGGTACAAGTTCACAGATACAGAGCTACCCCTCTGCTGGGCCTGAGGCAAAGAAAACTCCCAATCTCTTTCTTGTATTCATTGGGTTCTGCTGAACCTGGAAAGGAAATAAATTCCAAAGGCAGGAAATGACCCACAGACCATAACAATATGTGAAAAGCCAAACCGGTGCTTCCGTCGCTTTATTTCAAACTATTCTAATCTGCGTCCCAGGAAGCCTAACCCATTACCAGATGGAGATCTGTTTTCAGATGCCTCTCGGCATCTGCCACTCCTGGCTGGTGACGTTTGCGCATTTCAAGAAGGTTGCCACTCCTGGCTGGTGACATTTGCACCTTTCAAGAAGGCAAACCTGTCCCGATAGCTTCAAACTTCCAGAGAGGTGCAGCCCCAGGAAAGTCCTTGGGTCTCTGGCTGACAGCACCAGCCATCTCATGTGCTTCATTGTAGCTGAACTGTTGCTGGCCTCCAGCCTAGAATGCTAGCACACCGAGTCTGTTCTTGAAGACTTGCAGAATCTGAAATCACAAAGCCCCGTGTTGCCAGAAAAGGTTGGCTCCCTCGCCTGCTTCCTAATCCCTTCTCACCAGGCTTTCCTAAAGAAACCTGATGAGTCAGGAAGAAAGAAAACGTGTCTGAGACAGAGCTGGGGTTAGGCTGGTCTCTCTCATCACTTCTGAAAGTTCCTCCTGTTTCACTATGCGGGGCATGTTTGGGGATTCGGTTGTGCTTTTCCTGTTTCCTCCTCTATGAGCTCTCTCTTTGAGGACCACTTCATTTACCACTCACGAAATCAGCTTGGCAAAAGCGGGAGGCCCTCTGATGAGGAATTCGTCACCGCTGCGAGGAAGTTTTGACTTCACTTTTGTCCCCAGGAGCATGGCAAGGAAAAACTCCCACCTCGACTCCCAGGTGGAACCATCATTCAGTTGCTTTGTTCTGGCCTGGGGGCCTGTGTGTTTCCTAGGCCCTTAATTTTTACTGAACGCCCTCCATCAGTCTTCCCACTGAAGGCTGTGTACCAGTTAGATTTTAAACCCAGTGAGGTGGCTTCTGGGATACCTTGCTTCAAACAGGTATCCTGCTAATCCCTTCCCCAGGTAATCAGAAAGTAGCTATAGTTGAAATGAATAATGTGCCCAACTCTTTCAACACTTTCGAAATGTTAAACAGATTAAAGTATAAAGAATCCAATATATTTGTTGACATCTGGTTTATAGAAAATCTCCAGCAAGAAGGAAGGGGGGAGTTCAACATCAGGCTGGGTGAAATGGGAGCAGCAGTGAAGGGCACTGCTCTCCTGCATTCCGGCATCAGACACCTGTTCTGGAGTCCCAGTGGCTCTGTGCCGCTATCTGCAATTGTGTGCTGTTTACTATGAAACATGCTTTAAAAAGTATATTCTGATAAGCTTGGATTTATCCTTGGCGATGGAATGTAGTTTCCATTACAAGACAGTAGCTTAATATCAGAGGTAGGTGGTATCAACTATATGAAGGTGGTACTAGACAGTAGATAAAAGAACCTAGGGGATCTTTATGAAAAGGAGTGGGGAGAGAGAGAGGCAGAGAAAGAGAAAGTCTTTTTTGTTGTGGCCAGGAAGAGACAATCTTGCAGGGAGTGTAAGATATATGAGTCTCTCTCTTTCTCCCCTTGCCTCTGCCTATGGAAAAGGAGCCAGGAAAAGCTAGAAACGGGAGACAGAGGGAGGCCATCTCTCCAAGTGTTGGTACCAGCCAAATAGGATAAATTGTTCATATTATGATGATGACGACAACTATAATGATGAAGAGAACATATAGACCCAGATGAAAAAAACAAAGGCTTTGATTTCAAGCCATGCTTAAGTCCCAAAGTACTCCTGTTAGAGCCATTTACATGACCCAAGGGACAGGAATTTAGGGTGAGTGAAATAAATATAATTGGATAGAAAAATCAGGATTAGATTAAAATGTGATTAAGAATGGTTAAAAATTAGGAGAAAGGTACCAAATTCTACTTATTTTTGTACTGCTTTCAGTCTTGATCTAATGATCTGTTAAAAGATAACATCATGAGTTAAAAACTGTATTCTTTTTTTTAAACTGAGGTATAACTGAATGTAACATTTTATTGGTTTCAGGTATACAACATAATGATTTGATACTTGTATATATTGCAAAATGATCACCATGATAAGTCCAGTTAAATCCATCACCGTACATAGTTACAACATTTTTTTCTTGTGATGAAAACTTTTAAGATCTACTCTCTTAGCAACTTTCAAATATGCAATATAGTATCATTAACTATAGTTACCACACTGTACATTATATACCCATGACTTATTAATTTTATAACTGGAAGTTTGTACCTTTTGACCTCCTTCACCCATTTTGTCCCCCGCCCTCACTCCCCCAGGAACCACCCATCTGTTCTCTGTATTTATTTATGAGCTTGTTTAAAAACTGTATTTTTATTTAAATGTATAACAGAGCAAAAGATTTTGTTCTGTTCTCCGAGACACATATTTGGTATGCCTGGCCATTGGGAGCCTTCTCATCCTCTACAGCCTTTACCAGAGACAAAGAACAGAGGATGGAATACACAGATTCTTGAGTGCTAGCAGTGAAAGGTCAGAGTTATAACATGACAGTAAATGTTATATTCTGCTTAATCCCAGCTTTAACAGAGGTAGTTGCTAGACACTTAAAGTGGGTGCTTATATTTTACAAATGGGAGAATAGAATCAAAAATGGAAAAAGAATAGAGCCAGGAATCACAAACTATGCGCTAGGTGCCCAGGACACCACAGCAAACTCACGGACATCCCGTGGCATAGGCTAAATGTTGAGGGAGATGTGGTGATGCTTGACATCTGTTGGCCACCAGGTGAGCTACTTGGTCAAGATTGTTCACAGTTTCAACATTAGATTGTGCTGCACTCCTTTCAAAGATGTCTTATCTTTGAGAAGCTGGATTTTCAGCAGCTGTTATAAAATGCAAGTAGTAAGTGAAAATCAGTGTGAACACGAGGTGAATAACTGGTGGTGTCTATACAGGTTCCAAGGTTTGAGAGACGATATTCAATGCCTGGCATACATATCCTTTTATAAATAACTGTGGTTAAGAACAAAATAAAAATATTTTTTCTTTCAACTTATGTGTATTATATTTTCAAATGGCTAAGTTGTTGGGAACTTTCTACTGGATAAATGAGATTTACGTTAGGTTTTTTTTTTTTCTTTTGGCCTAGGAGCTCTGTGAAAAAATTACTGAGACACTAAGATGCTGTGAATTGGGAAAGTTTGGGAACCTCAAGATTAGAGCTATACAAACTGTCTCAAAGGGCAAAGGTGGATTTTAATGGCTTAAGCTCAATGGTGAGTACAGAAAAGTGATTCTATTTATTTTCCCCCAGACCATTCAGGGCACTGCTCACAGTAGTTCCCCTGTTTCCACATAAAATGAACATTCTTAGTCTGAATGATTTTTTATTAATGGAACCATTTGGTAGACTATTAAAAGTTGTCTTGTACAATGCTTCTCAAACTATCTTCCAACCTGTCATGGACTATGTGATAACTTGTGTTAACTTGGCTAGGCCAGGGTGCCCAGATATTTGGTCAAACATTATTCTGGATGTTTCTGTGAAAGTGGTTTTTTAGATGAGATTAACAGCTAAATCAGTAGTTGAATAAAGCAGATTGCTTCTATAGTATGGGTGGGCCTTATCCAATCAGTTGAAGGCCTTAATAGAACAAAGACTGAACTCCCCTGAGCAAGAAGGAATTCTGTATATATAAACACACACACACACACACACACACACACACACACACACACACATCCTGTTGATTCTGTTTCTCTGGAGAACTCTGCCTCATATAGATTGATACTTTTAAAAAAGGCAATAAAAATAAATTTTTAGGAAAACAATCATATGCTTAAATATTGTGGAAATGTTAAATTGTTATAAAAGTTTCTAAATGCTTGCTTTCAGTGTCCATATTTAGTTTCTCTGATCAGTAATAGTCTGATTAGTAATAGTAATAATAGTCTTTTGTAAATAAGTTCATTTGTATCATTTTTTTGATTCCACATATAAGTGACATCATATGATATTTGTCTTTCTCTGTCTGACTTCATTTAGTATGATAATCTCCAGGTCCATCCATGTTGCTGCAGATGACATTATTTTATTCTGTTTTACGGTTGAGTAATATTCCATTGTACGTATATACCACATCTTCTTTATCCATTCATCTATTGATGGACATTTGGGTTGCTTCCATGTCTTGGCTATTATAAATAGTGCTGCTATGAACACTGAGGTGCATGTGTCTTTTCAAATTAGAGCTTTCACCTTTTCTGGATATATGCCTGGGAGTAAGATTGCTGGATCATATGGTAGCTCTATTTTTAGATTTTTTAAGGAACCTCCATATTGTTCTCCATAATAGCTGTACCAATTTACATTCCCACCAACAGTGTAGGAGGGTTCCTTTTCTCCACGCCCTCTCCAGCATTTATTATTTGTAGACTTGTTGATGATGGGCATCGTGACCAGTGTGAGGTGATAACCTTATTGTAGTTTTGATTTGCATTTCTCTAGTAATTAGTGATGTGAGCATCTTTTCATGTGCCTGTTAGCCATCTGTATGTCTTCTTTGGAGAAATGTCTATTTAGGTCTTCTGCCGTTCTTTGACTGGGTTGCTTGGTGGGTTTTTTTTGATATTGAGGAGGGGAGGAATAAATCAGGAGTTTGGGATTAACAAATACACAGTCCTATATATGAAATGGTTAAATAACAAGGTCCTACTATATAGCACAGGGAATGATACTCAATATCTTATTATAACCTATAATGGAAAAATAATCTGAAAAAAATACATATTCTTATATATATAATACATATTATATATATTCTTTGATATATATAATATGTAACTGAATTACTTTGCTGTACACCTGAAACTAACACAACATTGTAAATCAACTATACTTCAATTAAAAAAAAAAAAGGTAGGGTTTCCCTGGTAGTGCAGTGGTTAAGAATCCGCCTGCCAATGCAGGGGACACGGGTTCGAGCCCTGGTCCGGGAAGATCCCGCATGCCGCGGAGCAACTAAGCCCGTGCGCCACAAGTACTGAGCCTGCGTGCCACAACTACTGAGCCCATGTGCCACAACTACTGAGCCCATGTGCCAAACTACTGAAGCCCGTGTGCCTAGAGCCCATGCTCCACAACAAGAGAAGCCACCGCAATGAGAAGCCTGCGCACCGCAACGAAGAATAGCCCCCACTTGCCACAACTAGAGAAAGCCTGCGCACAGCAATGAAGACCCAAGACAGCCAAAATTAAAATAAATAAAATAAAATAATTTTATTTTTTTAAAAGTGTTTAAAAAAATGTAAAGTAAAAAAAGTAGATATTAACAGCTGCACTTTATAAATAAGCTGCACTTTATAAATAAAATCTTCATGGAGATAAAAGAAACTGCTTGGAGAAAAGACCTCATGGATGGGTGACTCAAAGCCCCCCACCAAAAAAAAAAAAGAATTTATGAAACACATTTTGTGTAGCATTGATCTCATAAAAATGTAAATGCATCTGTACACGCACACATGTATTATTTACTTTTTATTTTGAACTAATTTTAAATTTACTGAAAAGTTGCAGAACTGGTACAGAGCTTTCCCATATATTCCCTCACCCAAGTTTTCCAATTTTAACTCTATACAACCGTAGTACAATTTTCCAAATGAAGACATTAACATTGGTACAAAACTATTAACTAAACTGCAGAGATTATTCAAATTTCACCAGATATATTTTAAATAGTGAAGTCACTACTCTAGGATGTGCAACTTTAGTAGATTCTGGGCCAGAAGATTTTTGCAGAATGGGTTGAAACTGTTGCTTTATTTTGTTTGTAGATCAGCCAGCTGAGAATAGAAAAATTTGACAGCAATTGTGGATTGTTCTATAGAAGAATATACAAACCACAGACCTCAATTAAAAACATCTCACATATTGATCGAGCCACTACTGCAATTCCTAAGCTTGACTATCATTTCTGCCAGAAATAACAAATCCTTTTGTATTTAGAGAGATTAGTCACTTAATGACAAAATGCATTGAAACATGATGCTTGAATGTGAATCTGAAATGGTGTGCATTTTTGGCCAAGTGATTGTTTTCCATCTCTTCTGTAGTCTTTTATGACCTTTCATAGGTAGAACCCATCTTATCGGCTTTTTGGGCCCCTACCGTAACGACTTCACAGATGTCTGTCATGGCACCTGTAACAGTTGCTGTAATTTGGGTAGGTACCTGCTAAGCTGTGAGCAACTTGTGGGCATGACTGTTTCTTGCTAACCCTGGTAGCTCAGTGCCTGGCCTAATACCTGAAGCATAGCAGGCCTGCAACACATGCTCGCTGAAGGAAGGAAAGAATGAATTAAACACACAATAAGTTCACATCAGCATTTTTTTCCTACCTGATCTTGTTGGGAAAAGAGCCTGTAACTCGAAATTATTCTAGTGAAAAAGACAATGGCGCATATATATTAAAAAGGAAAAGCTTTCAAGGGCCTTGTGTTTGAGAAACAGGCTTTGAATGCCAGGTGTGACTTACACACTGAATAAAGAATATCACTGTTACAAACAACACAAGTGTCTGGGTGCTGACTCACTTTATTCCACAGATGTATTGTACTCTGCAGGCAATTTTATCCACCTGAGTAAAACTCGATTTCCACTTAGGCTGATGTGTTATTAATAGTTATCATTATTATTCAGCATTTCTACAGTATGTGTTTTCAAAGAGTTATGTTCCTCATTCTTAATGAGCTATGCAGACAGAGGTAATGAAAGGTAATCTAGTCTCCCATGTAGCTGGTATTCAGTACATTGTTACTGACTGATTCATTACTGAACTCAGGGACAGGTGGGTGCAAACTTGGAGGAGGAAAGCCTCCCTCATTTTTACTCGGAGGAAGTGTGGGGAGTTGGGGGCAGGCAGACAAAGGGTGGAGAGGGAAGGAAGTAGGAATTCCTCCCAGATGGGAATGGAGCAGCCTTCTGAATCCCTGACCCACTTCAGCAATCCTTAGGGCCCTCTGGAATTACAGACACATCATGTTTATTTGCCCTGTGAAGGAGTATCCTTTGGGATCGGAGCTGCTGTTTCTTAGGAACAAACTTGTTTAGGGATTGCTTTTATGAGTCTGGGGTCAGTGGTCAGCATTCTACTTATGCTTATATCACCTGATTATAAAACTGGGAAAAACAAGATACCAAGAAACATTTATAGAAATTCAGAACATAAAAGCTGATTAGGGAGATATTCTCATAGGAGGTGTTGCAGTTATGGTAGGGTGACTAGCAACAAGGAAAGTGTTGATCCTAAGTGTCCCTAGTGGCCAAGCACAGACGAAATATGTCTTTGAGAAATGGAGAGGAGAAGAAGTTTGCCTTCTATTTGTTGGAAACCTCACTTCCTCCTCGAAGCCCTGCTCAGTGGCTTGCTCTGGTTCTGTCAATTGAGAGATGGAAGGATTTTGACAATGGGGGTTGGAATTAAGCTTGGGTTGCTTGGCTTAAAAAGTAATGTATTAGGTCTCTGGTAAGTACTCAGAAAATCCTTCCTCCTGCCTTTTATCTTTTTTTTTTTTTTTAATTAGCACATGACATTTGTGTGCTTTGGTCTCATTGAGCAATGACCACAAATATTTGTCTGGAACACAACTTGGAAGAAAGGAAAGTTGAGATAAAAATACAGACCTTTCCTGGCACTTGGGTTGGCTGGGAGAATTATGGAAAAGCTCAGGGAAATGTGCTGCCATAAACTCAAAAATCTACTTTGTCATGGGCCTGGCAGGCCAGGTTAGCCTGGAGCCATACATGAAGGCCACCAGGGAAGTAAATGAACCAGCCTGGAGCTCTCAGAAAGGTGTCAAAGCAGATTTCTCTTTTTTTGGGTAGAAGCTCAGATCCAGAGACTGTTAGGAGGATTAAATGAGATGATGCCTGCCAATGAGACTGACACACAGCCTGGCACCTAGCAGATGCTCGCGACAAACTGGATTTCCTTCACTGCTGTGACTTCATAAGGCCTGGTAGTGGGTGTCTGAAGACACTGTGTCTCAGACGATGGCTTCAAGCCATGTTGGTATTCTACACTTTAGAAAACACTGGAAAGTTGGACTCGTGCAAACTCCAAATTCTTCCATTCTGGTTGAGATGAGCCATAGCTAGGGATGCAGCTCAGTTTCTTCATTTGCAAAATGTTATGGTTCTGGGAAATAATCTTGTGACCTGAATGAGGAAACATACCTGATATCATTTCCTCAGATAATAATTGGTCTGGATTTCAAC